AGTCATAACATTATGAGATTAAAGTCATAACATTATGAGATTAAAGTCATAACATTACGAGATTAAAGTCATAATATTACAAGAATAAAGTCGTAATATTACGAGATTAATGTCGTAATATTACGAGAATAAAGTCGTAATGTTACGAGAATAAAGTCATAACATTACGAGATTAAAGTCATATTACGAGATTAGTCATATATATTACGAGATTAATGTCGTAATATTACGAGAATAAAGTTATAATGTTACGAGAATAAAGTCATAATATTACGAGATTAGTCATAATATATTATGAGATTAATGTCGTAATATGAGAATAAAGTCGTAATGTTACGAGAATAAAGTCATAATATTATGAGATTAGTCGTAATATCACGGGAATAAAGTCATAATTTTATGAGATTAGTCATAATATATTACGAGATTTATGTCGTAATGAGAATAAAGTCATAACATTACGAGATTAAAGTCATAATATTACAAGAATAGTCATAATATTACAAGATTAATATTACGACTTTAATATCATAATATTATGACTTTATTCTCATAATACTACGACTTTAATCTCGTATTGTTATGACTTTATTCTCATAACATTGACTTTATTCTCGCAATATTACGACTTTCTCGTAATAAAAAAAAACTCGTAGTGTGGCCTTAATACTCCGTCGTACTGTATGAGATGACTTCCTAAAACCAAACAGGTTTTACCTTTCAATAAATTTGACCAATTAAAGTTTCAGATTAAACAAACACACACATTAAATCCGCTCACCCAAACATGTAGGCTGTTTATTGCTATTTTCAAGCCACCAGTGGCCTTGCAGTTCACAGTTCAAATTGTCATAGAGGCAGTCTGAGTCACCTGACTGCACCATCAACACCCATAAAGTTTCACAGCTTTTGTTTTTACTGTTTTCACCCTTGTTTCAGATCAGTGAAACTGTCTTTTCATATAGCAATCAGACACAAACACAGCATAAACTTTGTTTCCTCGTCTTGTGTCACAGTAGACATTTAAAAATGTTTCTGAAGTCAGTGCCTGAGACATTATTGTTCCTCTTCTAACATAAACTTATTTTTAAAAGTTCGTTAGCATTTACATGATCAACATGTAAAAGAAAAAAAAAACAAGTTAAAACATCACAGTTTTTCTAAAAAGAAACACTAGCCTTGCTCGAAGCAATGACAGTTAACACCATACGGGAAACACAGCTTATTAAAATTAGAAAGCTGAAGTCTTTTCACTATTTCATTGAAAACAATTCATAAAATAAAAAACCTCACAGCATCACAGCAACAAAGATATGATACAGAAGATATTTGTGCTTTTTAATTAGCCAAAAAAAAAAAGGCTCTGGCATATGTTGAGATGGTTTCAGAGTTCATACACTGTTAACTCTAGAGATAAATGACATATCACTACAACAGTGGTGGGCATAGTTCCGCTAATATGCTAACAGCGGAACTAGTTTCTCATTTAGTCGCTATCTTTTGGAATCCTTATCGGACCAATTAGCTTCCACTAAATTGGCTTCTGCTTAGTTTAAGTCTGCTAAAGCATTCACAAGTATAAAACTTTTATTTTTATGTCATTTATCCTGACTTGATCTCCTCTTACAAGCAGTCCTGGATGTGGCAGGCATGTTAAATGTGTCTCAACTCAGGGGTTGTTTGGGTAGGCTGCATATAACGGCTATGAAATGTCATCGGATGTTTGTTTGCGTTACTTCGGCATCTTCGTTTTTCCGCACAATGAATCCTGGTATATTGTTGACTACGTAGGATATTCAGATGCAGCCTACGTTTTCGAATTTTTGTTATACGAAAATTAGACAGCTTAGCGACGTGACATATGCGGCCTAAAATTGCATCCTACGTGGGCTGCAATGTTAACGGTCTTAGCGGTCAGCGTTAGTTTCCTCTAATTTTTTTAAATCTGTTTAGCGGTTTAGCGTAAACCGAGGTATGATTCCTGTTCAGCCAATTAGTCCTTAGTGAAGCTAAGCTGTGCCCACCCCTGTACTACAGTTACTACGATACCACAAATAAACAACTGTTTCAGTTTTAATAAAAAAGACCATAGATTGTTTGAGGTTAGAAAGCTGCAGGACATTTGAACTTTTTTAAATACATTTTTATAGACTTTCCTTAATATACCATTCTGGTGTGGTTGGAATGGTGTTTACTTTTTGCACAGCATTTTTCCAAAGTTAAGACATAAGTTCACATTTGCCAAACAAAAAATGGCATAAATGTATATTGAAAGTCAGGGAAAAGGTCTGTCTGAGCTCCATATGCCATTCTTATAGCACGTTAATTTTCCTGTTGATGGTAACACTTCTCATATTTTCACGTCTTGGTGTAAAGCAGTGCATTTAGAGACTGGTTTATAATTTGAGGAAGTAAAATATTTTATAGTACTTTCATAATTGTTGCCCTGTTGTGTAACAATTACAACTTTATGCAGATGATAAGCTGATATACTCCGTGAACGTTGGATAGGCTGCTGATAACTCGTTCCCTGATTCTGCCGTAAGGCGGCTAGAAGTTGTCGCCCTCGTCTCTGCGGGACATTATGAGCTGCCTCCTCGGCCCTGTCAGGTGAGGAACACTGGAGGGAGAGTCCAGAGCTCCGGGGTCCAGCTTAGGTGTGGAGATGCAGCGTGGCCCGACACGGCCCATGAGTCCGCGCACGTCCCTGTGAAGGGCTGGGTCACTCGGGATGGAGGTGAGCCGAACTCCGCATTCGAAACCTCCAACGTCCCGGTCCAAGTGGGGGTTACTGGCGCTGCTGGGCGACTGCGGATCAGCGCTGAAGTATAAGGTGGAACTTGATTCTGTGGGGCAGAAATAAGGCTCGGGACTGTCTCCGAAGACAGACTTACCCTCGGGGGAGCTACGTTTGAAATCTGATGTAGGCGACTCCATCGGGCTCTCCATCTCCAGACTGTCAAATTCTTCCTCAGGCGGTTCAGTGGACGTAGGTTCACTTAAGCTCTGGAACTCATCTTTGCAGTCTGAGAGAGGAGCTAGGCCTTTCCCTTGTGACTCCGAAGTGGAGACCCCCTCACAGCTGCCTGCAGCTGTATACGTCATGCCCTCGTCACTCTTAAACCCTTGGTTGTACTCCTCCACGTCCAGAATGGCGGCTGGTCCCCCGGCTCCGTACGCCCTGTTGATTTTATTGACATCTCCCGTTTTCAGAGCTAGGCGAATCAGGAGCCAGTGGTGATGGAAGCAGGGGCAGGAGCTGTTGGAGTGGTCGCCACAGTTCCCAGGGTGCTCCAGCAGAGAACCCGCCACGCCGGAGAGGGAGAAGCTGCCGTGGTTTTGGATGGACGAAGCCGGCAGACTCTTGTCTCCAAGAGAGAACGAGGACTCCCCCTGCTCTATGCACGTGCTGCCCATGTGGTGACGGTTCAAACCGTGGGAGATCTCTGTGGATTTGGGATGGAGGAACCGGTAATAGAGGACCAGAGAAGTGGCTCCTGAAAGGCACAATGAAAGAAACAAAATTAGATTTGAATACTTTTTTTTCACAACAAAGGTTTAAAGGGATCCCTGATTAGTTGTAAAATTAGACTTTATTTGATAAACATTTATTTTAACTGTATAATAAAGACTGTAAAAATACTGTAGGCTGTTTAGTTTTGTAAATTTTTTAAAATATATTTTAATACAGACGGAGCCATTTTATTTACACGCAAAGCATTCTGGGTAAATGATGACGTGGATAGGTCATCGGTGCGAGGCTGCTAGCGAGCTATATCCACCCTGAAGGTTAATCTTGGACAATATCTGATGATCGACTCTTTTAAATGAAACCAGAGAGCGTTGACAGAGAGGAGAAGGTAGAAATGACTCAGCCTGGAACTGAAAATATGGATGGAGGACAACAGAGCTGCTTCATGGAAGAAGAACCTCAGCTTAACCTGTTAGCCTTCGTGCTAGCACTGACGCTATATTGCCTTATATGTATTAGCTTGGTGCTAGCGCAAAAAACAAGCTAAACTCAGGTCCTCCATCCATATCTGTAGTTGCATTCTGAGTCATTTTTGTGTTCCCCTCTCTGTCATGTGGATGGAGGACCTTAGTGACGAGAGGAGAATGTGTAGCGCGGAGCTAATATATATATGGTGATAGCGTCAGGGCTAATGCTAAAGCTAACAGGCTAAGCTGAGGTTCTTCTTCCATGAAGCAGCTCTGTTGTCCTCCATCCACATTTTCAGTCACAGGCTGAGTCATTTCTACCTTCTCCTCTCTGTCAACGCTCTCTGGTTTCATTTAAAAGAGTCGATCATCAGATATTGACCAAGATTAACCTTCAGGGTGGATATAGCTCGCTCACACCGAGGACCTATCCACATCATCATTTACCCAGAATGCTTTGTGTGTAAATAAAATGGCCCCGTCCGTGTAATATATTTTTAAACTTTTAGTTTAAAAATTCTAAAAACTAAACAGCCTACAGTATTTTTACAGTCTTTATTTTGCAGTTAAAATATATGTTTATTGAATAAAGTCTAATGTTACAACTAACCGTGGATCCCTTTAAGACATGTTTACTTTGAGCATTTAAATTTTTAAAGTCCAACAATACAAATAATGATGTAGTTTCACCAGGAATCATTTTAACCTGTGTGAATCCCCTAAATGGTTTTGTCTGTCAGGTTTCTCAGAAATGATTAGATGCTCTGACACTATTCTAATTATTACAAGAATCAGGCTAGTTTCTACTTTCGCACAGCTGCTGCGGTCAGAATGACTCACCGAGGAGAAAGCTGCACAGCACAGAAGAGGGAAGGGTCATGCTGTCCCATGATGCCTCACTCAGGAAGTCAGAGGCAGCCAGCAACAACGTGGCGTTCTCTATGAGCATGAACTAAAGTCAGAAAGAAGGTGACACCGTCAGTTATCTGTGGACGACCTTACGTCACTGCGAGCCGAGGACACAAAGGTGAGGATGACGGTGCTCGTGTATCTGTTCGTGTGCAGGTGGGACAAAGCAGCACACAGAGAGTGAAACTATTTATTAAAAATACAAATAGATAGTTCCCACGTGATGTCAGACTTCCTACATGGGACTGCCCATTGTGATGGTGGAAACCAACTATCCCAATAACATAAAATACTGTAGAAAATAAATTATTGTTTCAGCTTTCCACTCCATTAATTGCGCATGAATAAGAGAAACACGATGCTTGTATATTGCTGGGTTCAAGGGTGTAAAAAAGGTGATAAATAAAGCAAAGTTTTTTTATATTTTATTATAATTTTGTTAGATCACCCGCTTCGGATGTTATCAGTCCATTAAATGGACGTTATTAGCCGTTATCAGTCCCATAGAATGGCTTCAGACTGTCAGCTAGTATGAGGCATAAAGCCACTAAGTGTTTTATGCAATCTGGTTAATATGAGGCATAAAGTCACTAAGGTTAATTTTAGAGAAAATGACATGGGCTACGATTAAGTAGACCGGACTCCGGCGGTAGCAGATTGTTGCATTCCAACGTATATGGCACTGGTTAACCACTAGGGGGCAATGTTGGGATAGTCTGAAGCCATTCTATGGGACTGATAACCCACTAGGGGGCACTGTTGGGACAGTCTGAAGCCATTCTATGGTACTGATAACCGCTAATAACGTCCATTTAATGGACTGATAACATCCGAACTGGCTGATTATATACAGAGGATTAAAAGCAGCAAACATTAGCCTACTTTGCTACTTAGCATTGAGCGTCAATGAGTGTGGCCAGCTAATAAACAGAGGAAACAAGCCGCCTAACACTGCATGGATTTGCTCCGATTTTTTTAGCAGTAAGAAATAAGAAAACTGATCCCGACAGTCTATCAGTCATAATGGAGACTTGATCTGAACGCCAAGTGATTGCATCAGAATACCTGGGATATCCACGCTAATTTGAGACTAGAAATCAAGGCCAACGTAGTACGACATCAGATTTTTGGTCTTTAGTTTCAGTATCCTCACATCTTTCACCTGGCACTATTGCTTTTGGTTGAAAGTGTCCAAAATCTTAAAGGATTCAAGTTTATTCATAGTGCCGGCACACATTTAGTCCTTTACCTCTTCATATCTCAATAACAGCAAATCTTTCCTTTGTGGCTTTTTAATGACAAACTATTATATCTCCGTAATATGATTCAGCCTTTCATTAGGTCATAGCTCACAAATGTAGAAACAAAGCTAAAAACCAAAGCCATCACAACGTTGCTCATAGGGCTCACAGGTTACGGAGTTTAGCAGACCACTATCATAATGGCTAGCTTCCGGTTTGACTAGCTTTTGATCCGGTCTTGTGGGAACTATCTACAAGCAGACTTTCTTTTGAAGTCATCTTACTGAGTAGAAGCTAGCCATGCGAAAGCGTGAGGGTCCATCTTTGACGTTCAGGAAGAGGAAGACGTGGATGAGCCCCAGGACGCCATTAAAAGTGCGCCAACGCCAGTGTCCGTTGCAGATGTCTGGTTGCTGTGAGACCAGCCAAAAGGAGGCTGTGAGCCAGTGAAAACCTGGATGTCAACACAAACAAAAACGGTCCAGTCAGTGGTCCATACTCAGTTTGTTGAACAGATGCAGAAGAGGTGACTGAAAACTGGATCAAAAGGTCACATTGCAAATTACATCACTTAATTATGACAAAATCTTAACATTTAAAACAAATTTTAACTAGAGAAATTGCATTTCCTGCGAAAATGCTAGTGTGAATGCTTCATGCAGAAAAATTAAGCTGAATGCATCTGAAACTAATCTGAAAATATTTAATAGCAAGTGTTAATCACGTTGAAAAGCTGAAAGAAGTAAAAAAAAACAACATAACTTCGCAGAAAAACAGTAAAAAGGAGCACAAACCTAGTTGAAAACAACAGAAAACAGCTAAAAGCTAAGCGCTAAAATAACTGAATATAGCTGAAAACATCTGTAAGAAGCATAAGAAGCACAAATGAGCAGAAAAAAGCACAAGTTGAAAAAAGCAGAATAGCAAAAACAAGCAGATCTACAGCTAAAAAAGCAAAGTTAAATTAGCATAAAATAAGCTAAAAAATAGTAGCCACGAGTTGAAAGTAGCACCTTGATAGTGAAACTGCTGTAAAAAAATGAATAAATAAAAACAGAAAAAGCATACAAGTACATTAATGTGCCAATTTGTAGTAAATTAACTAAAACAGCCAAAAATTTCAGTTAAACAGCTAAAAAGTAGCTGAAATTTTTTAAATTAGCACAAGGAAGCGTAAGGAGCACAGGTTTGCTGAATTAAGCTGAAAAAAGTTGTAATAGCTACAAAAATGTGTATTTAGCTTAGAAAAGCTAACCTTAGCTAATAACAGCATTAGCAATACATTATGTTTTATGTATTATGTTATTAGCAAAACATTAGCAAAAATTTCCGCAAATAGCTGAATATATCAGAAAGCATCTGTAAAAAGCCTAAATAGCACAAAGTAGCAGAAAAAACACAAAAAAGTAGAAAAAGACAGAAGAATAGTGGAAAAACGCAAAATTTTAGATGAAATAGCAGAAAAAAATCTAAAGTTAGCAAAAAAGTAGCTGAAATTAGCACAAGAAAGTGAAAAAGAGCATAACCAGAACAAAATGTGTAAGGTGCTGTAAAGATTTAGAAACATTTTAAAGGAGTTTAAGGATGTTGAAAACAGTTTCGTTCATTTCAATGGTAAAAAAGTGGTTAAAAAGTGAAATAGCTAAAAACGTATAAAAAATGAAAAAACAAGTCATAGCAGCCCTCACTTGATTGAGCTGAATGTTTTGATATATGAATCGTTGAAATATAACAAAAACTGTGGAATGAGTTAGATGCCAAAAAAAAAAAAAAACGGAAAAAAAATGATCTAAGAAGCATTCACACGATTAGTTGAGAAATGTTAGAATTTTCCTAATACCACTGTTATTCAAGCAATTTGTCTTTTAAAACAATAGAATAAAAAGGATTTGTCCATGCTCACCTGCTACTCCACAGACCCACCAGTTAAAGACCCTGGCAAAGAACATGAGGCAGGTCACCCTGGCCCCCAGCATGCCCACTCTCCAGACCAGCTGGCACAGCAGGGCTGCTGGAGGCATGGCCAAGTGGCCTGGTCGTATCAAACAGCACGCTCGACTGTACAGCACCAGGGCCCAGGAAACAGACAGCACGCATAAGCCACAGCAATAGGCCACTGAGCATAAAAACATTAACATTATTAGCGCTTTACATCTTATTGCACGTCCTTGAAAAGTAACAATATAAAGCTTACCTGGTGATGCGATGCCCACGTCAGTAGACACCACGATATATGCTTGCAGGAGGCTCTGAGGAAGCGTGAGGAAAAGGGCTTCCAGCAGCCAAAGGGCAGCAACATCTGCCTGCTGCATGACGGCTGCTCCGAGCTCAGCCACCGAGCCCTGCATGCGCAACACAGACCTCATGCAGTCCCACAACCTGCCGCAAGAGGACGACACAGACCAAAACCCTGAACAGAGATGACCTCAAGACTTCAATGACAGAGCCATGTGGAAATAATTTCCTCTGGTGAACACCCAGTGTGTCGTTATGTACACGTATCCCTAATTAAGGATCTCACCTTTTGAAGATGCCCAGGTGTAATATGTGTATGACAGAGAGGTAGCACCGCCTGTCGTCCCCGTCATCATAGTACCATTTCACACTCAGCAGCTGAACGGCTGTTCCCGGAAGGAAGAGGCCGAGTGTGAAGGCTGCCCAATGTGTCTCCTCATTCCAAAGGTAAAATCCTATACAATAGATCACTGATACACACACACACAAAGAGCAGGCATGAAAATATAGATTAGTTTAAGAATGAAGTGATATAGTGTGTCAAAACAGTCGTGACGCTTTTAACCCTCCTGTTGTCTTCGGGTCAAAATGACCCGCCACTGTGTTAAAACCCCCCAAAAAATCCCCTAAATGTTATTTTTTTAACTTGAGATTTTAAGACTTTGCCTAGATTGGCCAAAACAATAAAAAAAGTTAAATGTTGCTTTTATTCACATTTCCATGTAAGCTGTACAAAAAAAAGTACAAAGATGGT